ACTCTCGACATGTCCTTTATATGTATTTCATATTATTGATGTAAACAGTTGTCTTACTTGTGCTCTTGCACAGATGTGTATATTGTTATGCGCTGGAAATTTTACACTTCTCTTTTACCATATCTAGTACCAAGGTCATTCTTCTTGTGGCAGAGAAGAGGAGTTGTTGAAGGAATTGACTTTGGAGCAACTGGCGAAGTGAAAAAAATAAATGTTGTGCATATTCGTGAAAGGCTTGACAACGATTCGATTGTGATAGTGAGCAATTTGGGCTATTCCAGCTCTGGAGAAGTTTTGAATTGCAAGTATGGCCTGTTAGCTTTTTCTCGTTATGGTTTTTTATCTTTAGAAAGCAAGTTGTATTGTCTTTTTGTATAAGTCCATAAAGCCATCCTCTAGAAGATGTATACTGTCTTCATAACTAAAGCCTCATCCAGCAAAACCCGGTTCGTGCCAAATGGTGATAGCATTGTCAAGGTCTATCATGCTTTACAGATGCTAACCTCCATAGCAATTATTTTCTTTTTTCCATTGAAATACAAGGACATGCTTTTTGAATTCATGTCTATATTGACTTTGTCATTTGTGGCAAAAGGAAGAAAGGGTAGAATCTTGTTTTTACTAATTTCTCCACCCATCCCCAATCCCCCACTCCCACCCTGAAGTCTAAAGAGAGTTCCTGTAAGTTCAGTTAGTTATATAGGGGTTGAAAGCTGCTAAGTGAATCTATCAGGCTCCATACACACCAGACATGCTGAGTTCATTAGAGGCTGAACACTTTGGAGCAGTTCATGAGCATAGTTGTCGGTCAATTGAAGCAGCTCCACATTCCATCAATAGACACTGTAAAACAACTTCATGTGTACTAAGAGACTTCAGCTGCATAGCAAATGTTAAAAGTTCATTAATTACATTTGTTTTCGTAAAACCCTAACAATAGTATTAAGGCACTTTAGCTGCTTAGCAAATGTTAAAAGTTCATTAATTACATTTGCTTTCATATAACCCTAACAATAACTAAAGCTAAATATGATATAGTGTTCGGATTTCAAGTAGATTCATGAGATATAATCACTGAAAACCAAAAGTTTCTCAACTGGAGAGTCGTAGGCTCGTAGCTTGTATTTTGGTACTTTAAAATTTCAATATGCTCATGAACCTAATGGCTATCATACTCATACATGGATCGCTTTTCCAGGCATATCGGTCACAATACCCAAAATCCAATTCATCAATGTCGAAAATAACAGTGATCACACATTTAATATAGTATTAGTGCCTAAACTTAGGAAAAAATGCAGCTTTTCAATAGAATGCTGGGAGAGCTTTTCTCCACTGCAACTCTAAAAAAAACCTACATCATCAGTTAATTACTTATTTCGCATTTTGAAGTGCCATCATATTTTGAACTGTACTTTACATGGAAATGTGGAGGAAGTACATCTATACTCTTATCTGAATATCAAAGGCTCACTCATCATCTTCTGTAATGCTTCAGCACTTATGAAGTTGCTACTGCATGTGCCTTGGCGATTGAAGCAGATAAGCTGATTTGCATTGTAGATGGTCAGATTCTTGATGAACATGGACGACTTATTCGTTTCATGACTCTTCAAGATGCGGATTCATTGATTAGAAAGAGGGAAAAGCAGAGTGAAGTAGCTGCAAACTATGTCAGAGCTGTAGATGAAGAAGGTAGTTCTCTGGATTGTCTTGATTCAAATGGATCAAGCATCAGTATATTGAACAGGAATGGTTACAGTAAAGGCTACAGGGCAACATTTCAGAATGGTGTTGGGTTTGACAATGGAAATGGTCTATGGTCCAGTAATCAGGGATTTGCTATCGGAGGTGAGGAGCGCTTGAGCAGATTAAATGGGTATCTTTCGGAATTAGCAGCTGCGGTATATGTGTGCAGGGTATGGATATTTACTTCTTTAACCATGGGTTTCTTCCTGCTTGATTATTTCTTGATGAATAACTTAGTTACTAACTTGTTGAGGATTGGTTTCTTGTTTAGTATATTGCTTGCTTATTAGATGTTTAGCTGTTTACTGCTCAGGTTGTCGGGCAAATATTGTTCACTTTAATGTGAATAACATTCTCTTTACATTTTTTATTATGATAATTAATGTTTACATGAATATTCTCCGTTATACTCTATCATTTCTCTATCTACTAATTAGGACTTATGTTCATGTAAATATTAAATTAAGAGATAATATTATGCACTCCTTTTGTAGCTGATTTCTAGGGGCCTAGTCATTGTAACCCATGCAGGCACGTGTAAGCTGCTGTTTAGCTCCTGTCACTAGTCATGACTCATGCTCATATCCTCATGCATGCTTTAATGGATATGCCCAAATGAAAAGCTAAGGTCAAAATGCTTTCAACCTGCATTTTGCATTTGCTATGGACAATAATCTGCAGACCTGAATTCAACATTTACATATTCCAGATTTTGAAGGATCGCTTCTCTCTGAGCATGAAGTGCTTTTCCGACTAGAAAATATTGAACCTAGAATTGCGTGATTTACCCCTTAAATAAAAATACCAGTAGTATCTTTCTGCAGGCAACATTTTCTAACACTTGTATTGTCTCAAATACCAAGAAATTCATTACATTGCATCTTGTATTTGTACCTATATTTTCTCCATGTCCGTGTGCATGTGCATGTGTGCTTTCATGTCCCTTTTAACATTTATCATTGATGACCTTTTTTTCTTCTCCTGGCTAGGGTGGAGTTCAAAGAGTTCATTTAGTAGATGGTACTCTTGGGGGATCCTTGTTTCTGGAATTGTTTACAAGAGATGGTTCAGGTACTATGGTGGCTAGGTAGGTACCGTACACCGTTGTTAACTTTTTGTTGTCTTTTTAACAAATGTCAATTCCTCGATTCACTACTGTCAGTTTCTATATTTTGACTATCTAGAGTCCGTTTTGTGTTTGTTCCAATAATTTAACAGAATGTACAAAGATATATGTCTCTTACGTCAGTACTTTTCAAATGTTATCAGCTTTTTGCTTGAGTTCCTATTTTACTTCGGGGAATATTCTACTCTTATTTGGAGATAGTAGTATTTTTTATTGACTCGTGAAAGTATTAGGTAACACATTCTTTCATATTATATACAGCGAAAGTCAAGTCCCATGGGGTATTAAGGAGTTGGTAACTGGAGTATCATGTAATCATTGATACGCAAACTGTGTTTAAGCAAAACTAGTGGTACAAGAGCTATAAAGTCTCCCTTTGAATGTAATGTGTTTAGTCGAGAACAAATAGTTATTCCATAATGCCATTACATAATTTATCCATTCTCAATTTTGATTACAAGTGCTTGATGAAGTTGACTCTGGAAGATGGTTCAGTTCTATGATAATGTAGGTATAAACTGTTCCTGTTGTTTGACTTCCTGATTTTCAGGTGTAATGGTTTGAAGTACCAATGCTCTATATAATCTTTTAACTAGCATATCAGCCTTTAGGTCTAGAGTATATCGTTCATGTACTTGGCCGTAATTTTACACATTGTTTCTTTTAGGAAATAATTTTACACTTTTTCATGTTCATTTTAGTGATCTATATGAGGGAACTCGGCCAGCCAGAGAGACAGATCTTCTTGGTATTAAACAACTTATTCAGCCAATGGTGGAATCTGGCTCATTGGTTCAGAGGACCGATGAAGAGGTTAGCATTGCGGTCCTTTGTTCCTTCTTTTATTTATGCTTTGATTTATATGTAAGCATAACAATGTTCTCATTCTTGATTTCATTTAAACCATAGCAATGTGACAAACTCCATTCTGGCACGAGAATACTTCTGTTTTTTGTTCACAAAACTGCGTAATTGAAAGAGATGGTTCTATTATTGCCTGTGCTGCTCTATGCCCTTTCTTTGAGGATAAATGTGGGGAGGTTGCTGCTTTTGCTGTGTCTCCAGAATGTCGCGGGCATGGACGAGGAGATAAATTGCTTGGTATGTTTGTCTATATCAAATTACTGATATTTCCTAGTTTTCCTTGAGAAATGCATGCAAGTACATAATTGAAAGCATCCATAAATTAGCTTGTGATTTAGTAAATTCAAAGTTTGCTTCAGCAGTCTAAAATGGATCATCTAAAAACTTATCTGCACTTCTCTCTTGCCCGTAATAAATGCTTAATATTAGAAAGGGGTTTGGCTTTAGGAGCATCAAGTTCACTTTTCTGTTTGCTTTACATCTTTGTCAGGAATGATCAACCATTTACCAGTTTAAAGTTAGAATATGGGAAGACCTGCAAAACCTCCTGTAAAGCTAGTATATAGCATTCTTCCCTTGGTGCACAATATTCTACCAAGCTCTACTTGAATAGCTTTAATTATTTTATTCTTATCCTCAATTTTCTCACCTCCCAAACTGATTATCCACTATGTTGCATCTTATATTCGCAAATCGCTAGGCCAATAGAAAGAGAAGATCCACAATCAGTGGTCTGTTATGAATTTTCGGATCGAGAAGTGATGAAATTAATGAGCAACAGGAACCCATGCTTATAACTGCATGATGTCTATGATTTCTGTTAGACTGTCAACAAGTTTTAACACATGGATGCATATTGCAGTTCCGCATGCAACCAGTTTTTTGCTTTATGCCTTGCCTATTGTTTCATTTACTATTCTTTTTTTGTTCTTCGGATATTGTTCTTATATATTTATTATCTTCTTTTCTATCTGAGAGTATATTTTCCTTTATTCCTCAGATTATATTGAGAAAAAGGCATCTTCAATTGGATTAGAAAAACTTTTCCTGCTTACAACTCGTGCTGCAGACTGGTAAGCTTTTGTTTTGTATCATCTTGACTTGAACTTATTCAAGCATCTCTTGCTGGACCCTGAACAATAATTCATTAAGGAATTCAACTATATCCTCCTGCAGTTCTGTTTCAGAGAAGTTCCTTGTTGTAGCAACTGACAAATTTATATATCATCAAAATAATATGAGAATATATCATCTATTCTTGTGATTGATGGCTATGATTTGATGCTATGTTCCTGTTAGTTTATTCTTAAAGCAGTACTAAATTTACCTTACAGGTTTGTTAGGCGTGGTTTCTCGTCATGTCTTCTTGAGTCTATTCCTGAGGATCGGAGGAAGAGAATCAACCTCTCACGTGGATCAAAGTATTACATGAAGAAGCTACAACCAGCAGTAGGTGGAATTAGCGTCAACAGCTCTTCTTTTTGATGTTAATATGTCAGCATAAGGTTCAATGTTTGTGTGGAAAGGCCTCTCTAATTGTTTTGTTTTCTACTCACGTACATTCAGAAGATTCAGCATCTGTTTTGACTTTTCGGGATCCAACGATATGAACATCTGTATAGAACTCAACCGAAGGTTGACTATTGATATTGTACAGATAAAAAGGAAAAAAAAAGGTGGAAAGAGGACGTATATGCACTCTTTAATTCAAGAATGGTGGAATACTTCTTTTGGGCTGACTTCGATCTCTATACTGGAATTTGTTGATCTAATCTGGATTCCTTCATATAAATTATCATTGCCACAAAGTTCAAATTTACGACAGGTACTTGCAGAAGGATTGCATCAGTACCTTGAATTATCAGAAGCAGGTGAAAGGCTAGCCTCTGGCTGGTTAATCCCTGCCATTTGGTAGATGAATTTGTAGTTTCGAGTTATATCTTATGAAGAAATGTATGGAATTTTAATGGCAATACGGAAAAGGAAAGACGTTGGTTCCGAAGATGGCGGTGTTTAAAATGCTGATAATTTTATCTTTCATCTATTCCTTTGAAATCAGTTTTAAGTTTTACATCTAAAACATATTCCGTGTAGTTCTTTACTCAGCTGGTAAATTGTGACTTAATTTCTTGGATGATGATTAAAGCCAAAGAACCGACGGTAATATAATTAAAGAAGGATGCACCCCCTTGCTTATTGCTGAATTCCAAAAGAGTAGCGTTCTGATAAGCATACGCATGTGTCTACAGGGTTAAAAGCCGCATAACATGCATGCCTTCGTTCGAGAAACAACACAACACTCTGATAATGCGAGGATTCAAAACTCAGTCGCCGATGAGTTGTTCTAGTCTCCGATGAGTGGGCGAGTGGATCTGCAGCGATCTCTGACCATCAATAAACACTGTGCCGAGCCTTTTTAAATGCCCGGATGTAGAAAGCTGATCATGCTCCTGAGATATTAACAGTGTTTTAGATAGTTTCCAATCGATCATCAAGAAATTTGAAAAGCAATTGTAGATCCGTGTTGAGAAAAAGATGCTCATGAAACTAAGGAATTATGTTGATAAGATTATAGTCGGCATGAATAAGATGATTTTATTATCCACTAAAAAAGCGACCACATTTGTGAAAAATAAGAGAAGGTGTCTGGCTGCAACTACTTGCATTTTCCTCACTACACTTTTAACATCGTGATTTCGCTTTTCCAAGCAGGCCATCACAGATGGAAAATATCGGAAAAGGTGCTAAAAGATCGTAATAATATTGCATTAGTCTCGAACATTAAGCAATAATATGATAATGGAGGCAAATAACAAGACAATATATTTCTTCCAAAACAAATACATATATTGGCGAGATTTGACCAAACAACAAACAGATAAGCTGTTAACACCTAAAAATGCGTTTTTTTGCAATCTGATAGTCCTCTTACCAGAATAGAACCAGAAGAGAGTGTGTTATCTTTCTCTCTCTGCCGTGCTATGCATCCTTACGATAGGCTCTAAATTGATCCAGTACCCCTCGCGGCAATAACTGTGAACTCTGTACACTGGAACATCGAAAAAAAAAACTTCATAAAATAAAGAGTGTTAATAGATAAACGAACAAGGTTGAACATTATAGCTCAAAGTAACTTAAGAAAACATGGAAGTCCGCATCCATTTATACGGTATTTACATAAAAAATCAAATATCAATGAAAACAACAGCATGAGACACGAGCAAGTATGAGACAAGTTTGGTTTATGCAATAAGCGACACGTTGATTATACAAGAAACCAGTAAATACCTGAGGAAGTTATTACCAAAGAACAGAAATTGTTCTGGGCTTCCCAAATTATCCGAGAACATGATGCTTGTCCAAGAGCATTCCATATCAGAATCTGTCCATGGATTGGCAGTTCCTGTTCTTAACTCCTCCAGTGGATATGAGAGAGGGACTTAATCTCTCTTCTTATCCCGCGTTATATATATTGTATCAAATTTGTGATGAATTTCTTTCAGATTATGATTGTGACAGAATAGTTCGAATGTATGAGGAACTTAATCTAGGCCCAGCTGCATCCAGGAGTTTTTGACATCCCTATATAACTAATTTCTGCTCTCATCCTTCTAGCATCAACCCACCTTCCAACCTGAGCATAAATATTAGATAAAGCAACATAATGAGCAGGGTTTTCAGGCTCCAATCTGACTAAGTTCTCTAACGCTCTCTCTCCCATCTTTACATTAGAATGCATTCTACAAGCACCCAAGAGAGCTCCCCATATACCAGCATCAGGTTCCATTGGCATTCTCTGAATCAATTCCCATGCTTCATCAAATTGACCAGTTCGACCCAATAAATCCACCATACAAGCATAATGCTCCATTTTCGGTTCCAAGTCAAGTTCATTTTCAATTGATTCGAAGATCTTCTTTCCTTCTTCAACTAGACCGCCATGCCTGCAGGCAGACAAGACACCCACAAAGGAAAGAGAGTCTGCTTTGATTCCCCTTTTGTTCATCTCCTTAAACAATGCAACACTATCTTCACCAAGACCATTGGTAGCGTATCCAGAAAGCATCACATTCCATGATACAGTATCTTTGTAGTCCATCCAGTCGAAAAAATATCGTGCACAATCAATTTGCCCACATTTTGAGTACATGTCGATCAGGCTGTTGCCGATGAGCACATTAGTCTCTAATCCAGACGTGATCACAAAGGAATGAAGAGCCAAACCATCTCTTAGAGAAGTAAGCTCAGCCACCGCTGGAATTATACTCACGAGACTGACTACATTGGGCTTGATATTCTCAGCTCTCATTTCACGAAATACCAATAATGCTTTATTTGCATTTCCATTGTGCATATACCCCGCGATCATGGTATTCCAAGATATGACATCCTTACGAGCTTTAGCCTCGCAGAACAAAATCTCTGCTGAGGGAAAGTTCCCACACTTGGCATACATATCTATATTGGCATTTTTCACATGATGGTCAGAATCGAATCCATTCTTTATACTCAAACCATGAACACTTGAACCTAAGTCACAAGCATTTAAGAGAGCACAAGCTGGAAGAATGCCAACCATAGTTCCTGGATCAGGTTGCAGTCCTGTTGCCCTTAACTGCTGAAACATCCTAAGAGCATTGCAAGCATCTCCAAGTTGTGCATACCCATTGATTAGCGTATTCCAAGTTATAACTTCTTTGTACCGTAAAGCATCAAAGACTACATGAGCTGAAGTAAAAAGTTCACACTGAGCATACATTGAAATGAGAGCAGTTCCGACTGAAACATCCTCATCGATGGCCAATCTTAAGGCATAGCAATGGATGCACTTTCCAGATTTCACATCCAACAAGTCTCCACAAGCAGGAAGCGCACTTACTATAGTAACCTTATTAGGTACAAAACCCCTCATTACCATTTCCCGAAGTAGAGATAATGCTTCTTTGGATCTACCTATTTGGATTAGGGATGATATCATTGCAGACCAAGCAACGATATCCTTCTTCTGAATCCCCTCAAACAAAAATTTTGCCGTTTCTAAATCCCTGCATTTAGCATACATTGTCATGAGCACTGTAATAGTAGGAACATCAAAATCTATTCCTTTTTGAATAGCATAATTATGAATATCCATCCCCCTTTCAAGATCTCCAATCTCTGCCACGGCTGAGAGAGCACTCATCAAACTTACCTGATTCAACTTCAAATCATCTCTCCTCATTTCATCAAAAAGCTCCAAAGCCTCCAGAAAAAATCCATTAAAAACATACCCCGATATCATACTAGCCCACGAAACATCATCCCTCAAGCCCAACATCCCGTCGAAAATCCCACGAGCAGACTCAACATCTCCACACTTTGAGTAAGTATCAACCAACCCGTTAGAAACGCTAGCCCAAAAACCTCTCCTAACAACAAACCCGTGAAGAGTCCTACACAACATAACCTCACTCAATACACAAACAGCCGGAAACAAGTTTAGAAAACTCACCGAATTAGGTTCAATCCCAACACCCATCATCTCCCTCAAAAGCCCGAGAGCTATACTGGGCTCCCCTCCCTTCGCAAAACCCGCAATCATAGCATTCCAGGAAACGACGTCCCTCGTCGGCATTGAATCAAACGCTTTGCGTGCAATCTCAACCCTACCGAATTTCACATACATATCAACAAGTCCAGTCCCAATAAACAAGTCATCAATCAATCCTCTACGAATGACTTGGTTGTGGACTGATTTGCCCGTTTTGATATCGTGGGCCCCGACGCAGGCCTTGAGGACAAAGGTGAAGGAGTAGTTGTCGGGCTCCGGGCCTCGATTGAGCATTTGGGTGTAAAGTCGGATAGCTGCTCTGGGGTTGTTTGAGTTAGTGAAGGATCGGAGGAGGGAGTTGAACAGGATGGTGGAGGGGTTCTGGTGGAGGCCGAGGATGAGGAGGCGGGAGAGGATTTGGTTGAGTTTGGTTGGGCTGTTTATTGAGCGGAGGAGCCGGTGGTAGTCGGAGAGAGAGGTGACATTGGCGGCGTCGGTGGTTGGTGGTGGCGGGAGAGAGTGGAGGAGGCGGCGCTTGATCATGTCGGGTGAACCGTACTGTGTTTCCAAAAATGGCGGGAGAATAGTATGTTGAAATAACAAATGGGCACGTCTATCTGGAGTCCAAGAGGTTAGTAGACGATTAACCGGCGGGCTTGGATAGTGTAATATCTCTCATGTTCAAGGAAGCCCTACCTCTAATTTGCTGATGAATATAGAACATAGTGCATATTGAGCATTTTGACCTCCAGTAATCAGATTTTAAATGAAACCATATATTCTTTCCTCCTCGTTCATACAACATGAGAATGCGAAATCTACTATGTTTATGTTAAATTGTTAATAGAGACCAGAATTGCGACCAGAGTTAATTACAAATATACATCTGCAAAATTTCGACTAGCAAAGTAACCATTCAGAGTATGGAAGTGCAAGAAGTAAAACTGCAGCCGGAACAACGCATAGAGTGTCAAACCAGCAGCCAAGACGCTCATTAGAAATCGGAAAAAGGATAGTTTACTGAACTCCCCAGCGGTCTACAAATCTAAACAGCCACACCATCAAAATCCAAGTCTTACATCAGAACATAATAATTTGACATTGTTTGAAGACACAAAACTTGCTATTCCTAACAAAGCTAACGCAGCAAGATTCAGATATCATGAATTGAGAAGCTACTCCCTCGTAATTCGCAGACACTGCACCAAAAAAGAAGGGGATTAGAGTGCATTCTTCCAATTAATATATAAGAAGTGAATCCAACAAAATGTAATTAAAGATCCAGAAGATTTAGTTGTAGACATGCATAGTTTACAGAATCAAAAATAAGTTTTTTGTATAATAGCCAGTGTGTAGTTACAACGGTCATAGCCAAGAAAAGGCTTGTTTGAAGGTGGCAAAATATGTATGCTGCTCCAGGAGCACAATTGTTGGTCTTAGGATCAGAAATATAAGATGTCAAATATATCATTATAAAACCAAAAAGACTACAAAGAGAAAACACAAAAGGGACCTCAAAATCCAATAAAGACGGTTAGTATAAATTCCCTTTGCAAAAGAGTTTGGTTGCTTCGTCAGAACCTAGTGGCTCCTTACCCTCAGCCTTCTTCCCATTTCAAGTAACATTATGCCTGGACTTTTGAATCTGACATTCATATGATTATTTAACACAATGCCACTATAAATTCTAATGAAATTGATGCTACTAAGTGTATGGGATTTAAAGTGGTAAAAAGGAAAACATTTTGCATTTGGGCCATTTCAAATTACTGCCTATTTGCTTATTATCTCCACCATTACTAAAACATGGCAGCTGGTTCTAACCCTACTACCCTTGGTGCAATAGTCAAAAATCCACACTGAAATTCTTTAAACATCCATCATAAATTAGCATTCAAATTATCACCTTTGAATGGCTTAATAATATAAACTTTACAAAACTTATTAGGATAGTCTGCATGCCACTAGACTCCAAAAATCTTCGCTCCAACTGCCTACCAAACACTTCATTAATCATTCTCATTTATCTCCATAATACATGCCTAATCTAAGTAGGATGGAAAAAAATCCATTCACCTATTCCTGGATTATTAAGAACATCATTAGAATGCCTGAAATAATAAAAAGAAACAAGTAGCTGTCATCAGAAAGAAACACTGTGCTTCAACATCTCAAAATTGCCCCCTAAAACTCGTAGAAATGATCTAATGATTAACTTACACAACAATATCAGGTACATAAGTAGGGGGTACTGCAACATCAACAAATACCACAAATACACTAGCAAGTAACAATCAATAACAAGCTATCCAAATTATGCAATAGAATGCTTTTAGAAGGTCTAAGAATCTTGGATGCACAAGGTATTCTAATAATTAGTCCATACCGCTACCACCGGTATGGATATAGTAATTAATTTAAATAACAGTTGGAACCACTGTAAACAAAACAGGCAATTGAAAAACTATTCTCAATGTTCTCAACCAAATGAATGGGAAGAAATAGTGCAGACCTGAGACCAGTGATCATTTAATGCAGAGTACATAAAGCTACATACTGTGAATCTAAACTAGTAAGTGAACTTATAATCTGTCATTCACAGCCCAACACCAAATATTAAATAAATGTTCAATACCTAACCACAAATATAATGCTTATCAAGTGAAAATTTAATTACAAATCTAAAGTAGCGAGATGTTACCTTAAATGTTGCTTGGGTACATAAAAACCCTGACTTTAGCTCCCTGCACCAACAAAATAAATAAATAAATCACTCAAAAATCAAACAAAAACAACAAAAAACCCCTCAACAGCTTGTCATCTCCTCCACTCACCATGGCTTTGGGAGGCAAGTTGGACCTGAACTTAGCCCTGACGACGCCGCTGTTGCCGTGAGGGCGAGTGACCTTGCCCCAGATGCATCTGTAGTGGGACCCGCCGGCCTTGACCTTGGCCTTGTAGATGTAGGCCAGTCTCTTGCCGCAGTACCACGCAACCTCCTCCTTGGTGTTCACTCCCTCGATCTGAAGCAGCGACGTGTTCTCGTACTGGTTCGACTTACACAAAATAACAAAAAAAAAAATCTAAAAAAAATTGGAAAAATATTATTGATGTCGGAGAGGTCTTAGGCAACGGAGATCTGACCTCTTGTATCCGAGAACGGTGCCTCGGACGTACAATCTGCAATCATAAAGATGAAATTGTGAGTTAAGAGACGGAGAAAGAGAAACCCTAGGGCTTCTTGAGATCTGAGGATTTTGGGGGAGAACCTGACGCGCTCTCCTTGCCTTCCCTGGACCATTTTTGCCGCAGAGGGATGATTGAAGACGCCGACAACGGAGAGAAACCCTAGCTCGTTTCCATGGAGGCTTTCGAGGTGACTATTTATATGGACCGCTCTGTTTGCTGGACTTTGAGGCGGGTAATCAGGCCCAGCCCAATTGTCATGGACCTTATTGTTTGACGGGCCCGAGTCACGGTGTCAGTGCCTTTCCGATTGTCATGAACCTTACGTGTTTCGTAGGTTAGGTTTTACAATTCAGAAAAAATTAACGGTGCAGCCTGTTGTCTGTTTATCATCATCACATATGTAATATTTTATCATCCCTTAATTAAACAAAACAAAGATGCTAATAAGAAAAATAAATAAATAAAACTAAAACCATTTTCCCCCTTTATGCTATGCTGCTTAATGTTAATTGTATGAGTTAAATTCATCAAACACTTCTTGCAATGGACTGTGAAAATAGAACTAAAACCATCTTATTTGATAAGTCGGCCTGTATGCTTATTTCCCCCACTGTTTATTCGTCTCATGCGTCTCGTGAAATTTAATTATACCCATAATTGGTCCTCTTCTTGCCAACTAATCCATCCGTACAATAAAACATAAACGATCAAGATCAACGTACCCGCCAGAAATATAAAACTCATAAAATCAACGCGGACCAACCGAAGATACAAACAAACTGACCCATTCTCTCACTCGCCAGCTTCCTTCGCTACAAAGAAAAACCCCCCGCTCCCATTTAAACTCGTCGCCGCTTCATTCGGTCCAGCGATCAAACACTTAGTCTGCACGATTCTCCAACAAAAATATAATAAAATGGAGCAGGCTCTGCTCTCAGATCAAAAGCAAGAAGAGAGCTTGAGTTACTATCAGTACGTTGGTAGAACCGCCTCCTTCAGCGCCCCGTCGGCGATTGGAGAGGAGGTCAGCGTTGACGAGATCCGATCCGCTTCCGTCTTCTCTGATCCTAACTATTACCCGCCTTCGATTCATTCTGCTCTCGTCGCTTCGCCTGAATCCGATCCGTCTCAAGGTTAGGGTTTCAGCTTTTTATCCGCTGGGACCTGGGGGAGATTTCTTTTTTAGTTGGGGATTTTCTTTTTTGTGGTGCGATTATTTTGATTATTTTGTAGGTCAAGCTCTCGTTTTTCAAGGAGGATACGGGGAAGGTTTTCAACAAGGATACATTTCAAATCAATTCGGGAGGTGAGAATTGTTACTGTGCGCTTCTCAATTTCTTTCTCTTTCAAGTAAAGAGAGCTAATTTCTAACACAATTTTACATGAGGATGTAATTGACCCGTTTAAAGAAAATTTAGGGTAGCGTCCCATTCTTGAAGGAAAACGAGGGTAGCCTTGATAAGGGAAATAGCCGCCAATACTGTGAATAAACTACAAAGTTGGAGTTTGAGTTATAAAGATAACCAATGGCTTATGCGGTAGCTAAGCTAACATAAATCAGAAGATTTCCTTATTTTTGTATAACGTCACCGTGTGGCTATTCTATACCTCTTCATAATGTATGCATCAGCTACATGTGTCTTTTTAATAGATTTTTTTAAAAAAAATTATGAAGCATATATCTTCTCTATCATTTGAACAGTTTGTTCATTGATATTACACGTAAATAAATCATGCAGGCCAATATTGGATGAGGTGGAAATCCGGCAGCTACTTATTGATCATGTTGGTCATCGCTGTTGTTGGGCGAGCCAACCAGCTAGGAGGTGGAAAATATCTGCCATTGAAGATTGCAATGTATATGTTGGAACTTTAGAAACTTTCATAGAGGAGAGAGAAACTGTTAGGGAAACTGAGCCGTATGCTGGTGGGGAAACTGATGGAAAAGGTACGGGGCTGGAACTGGGATTGTGGGAACTGGACTTGAGGTCGGAATTTCCTCTTCTCTTTGTACCACACAAAGAATTGAGGGCAAAAATTCCTCATTCGGAAGCTAAGGAGAAATGCTCAGGTATGAATTTGCTAGCTTATGCTTTGAAACCCAGTCGATAGAATTTTGCTAGCAAGTGTGGTTAGTTATGTTCTATGTTTTGTCCATTATGTCGTAATATTATTGTAACTTGTTAAAATTACTGTTATTGCAAGATTGTAAGAAAGTTTAGAACTGTCTTAAAACTTTTTATTTTTATTGTTTTTGGATTCAGAAGAGTTTTATTCTTGGCTAGCATATTGACATAGATATTGTCTTTAGCATATTGACCATTTCTTTTATTTTCTTCCTTGTTGGCTCCACTGGGGAACTATCCTTGCTTTACAAAGAGTTCAGTACTTGATTTTAATAATCTGCTTTATTTTATTGTTCTATGAAAACCACAAGGGAAGATAGTGGAACTGGAAGCTTTATTTCTCTAGTAGGCATCTGTGATGACTTCATTTTAGTTATCCTTGCACTATGATTTTCTATGAAGATACTATTGGGGAAGATATAGTCTGAGATGCCTGAATATACATGCGGTCATACATATATACCAAGATATTGTCGTGTAAGACGCGCGCGTGCTCATTAACACATGCACAGTAAGACTTTTTTTTCCCTTTTTTATTTTGTTTATGTTTTTGTTTTTTGTTTTTTGTTTTTATTTGGGGCAGCAGGAGCAAAGAGGGTCGTGGAATGGACAGGGTACAGCGGAGGAGGGGGAAAGGGGTTGTTAGGGTTGGGTAATGAAAGGAGATATGAAAGGGAGCTAGTCGGGTCAGAGGCAAAGTTGTGTCTGGTGTAGAACGGGATATGAGAATTATGTAGAGAGGGGCAGTTGGTTTCTTTTAAGAAGGAGAAGGGTATTTTTGGATATTTTTTTGCCTCTGTAATACCATATACATAAACACTGAAATACTATATGTGGGTTAAAATTATTGGAAATGGGTCTTTTGGGTGTATGCATGATTTTAGAATGGGTGGATTCAAAAAATAAATCATAGCAAAAGAATGGGTTTAAAATTTAAAAAAAGATCCCTCACAACAAAGAACGTAAGGAGAAGAGGGATAGGAGAAGAGGGATAGACATAAGAAACTGAGAGGTACAATCGCTTGCTTGGTGTGTAGAAAGTGCTCATTTTCCCTTGATGCTCCCGCCTTGTAACATAGACATCAAGCTTGAGATTGGTAATTAACCCTTCTCCTAAGACTATACTAAGCATGCCTCCGAATGGATATTAACTTACATGTCTGCTAAGTGGCATTAATTTAAATGGAGGACGATATGCTCTTTCATTCTGTATCAAACCTGTGCTATTTTGTCTCATGGTGTCGTTCTATCGTAGTTTTCACACTTCTCCTGGTCAGTACATCTGCAATAAGAATCTTGGAATTTGTCCTGAAACAAATATAGATAGTATGCTCCCAAATTTCCAATTCATCAATTTGATGCCGTGAAATGAAAGAAGGATATCATCAGAGGAGAAATACACAGAACATTACTCTTACTATATAACTTCCACTGGCCAGGCTTCAGCCAGCACCCTTTCCAACTCCACTATCAGATTAAAAAAGAGAGAAGATACCCACTCTAGGGCCTGACAGAGTGGCAGGTATGGATCTCTAGCTTGAATCTGCGGTTAAGCTAATGCTTCTGAAGCTTCAAACATTTTTTTAATTCTTCATGGCTTCATCCATAGTTTTATAGAGTGGTAGGGTTACGTTTATTGATAATTTTAGTTTTTTAATATTTTCATCAGTTTACCAATTTCCCCCAAGATTTCAATACATGAGAAGAGCTGGTTAACTAGCTTTGGTTGCTCCTAAAATGTTGATTTCAATACATGAGCTGGATACTTTCTCGTTGATTGGAGCTAAACTGTATCTTCTTTGCTCCCAGTTTAATGCACTCTGGATTGTAATGTTTTAATTGGCAATCAATGTCTCCATCTCTCTCTATGGTCTCTAACTTGCAGCCAAGTCCACTAGTTACACCATTCTTTAATCTTGTAGTGTTGATGGGAAGACTGTATCTTTTTTGACCCAATTTATTGCTTACTTAGGATTTTAATGTTTGAATTTTCAATCATAAGGCATGTTTCTCCCTCACACACATCTGTAATTGTTTTTTTTTCTTTCCCATCCTTTTGAATTTTAGCATATTTTTATTACCTAACCTGCCTTAATATTTAGCTGTCTAGTTTAATGACGGTTCTTTTTTCGTTTTACAATCTTAATTTTCTGCATCTTCTGTTAGTAACTTAGTAATTGCTTGAATATAATTTATAAATATCTGACAGGGTGTCAAGGTCGAGGAGAGATTCCCTGTCCTACTTGTAATGTCGGTCTAGAACCTGGGTTTTACAAGGAGAATCAGATGAGTCAATGTCATGTATGTTATGGGAGAGGACTGATAGCTCATCGAGATGGATCTGATACAATGTAAAGGAGCAATACCATTTCATCACTTTTCTTTTGCATATAATTGTAAACTGGTAAGAAATTCATACTTATATATGTGGTACTGATGTTTTGCAGATGCAACAAATGCAATGGTAACGGGAAGCTACCATGTGTTATGTGTGCCTCACATGGATTAATTAAATGCCAGACATGCAATGGACAAGGTTCTTTACTCACTCGAAACATTGCTCTTGTTAGATGGTAAGCAGAGTTTATACACTGTGATCCTTGCACCATTGGGTGCTGAAAATACTTAAATCTATCAGCTAAATGATGAACAAATTGATAATATTAGTAAAAACTGAAGCATCTGTACTTTGAATATTCTGTCGTTTTCAATTAGTTGGGTTGGTACACAGCATGCACTATGATATGAGAATGCCAGGGGACCAACCTTGGTCTACTCGTGCATCCTGCGCTTTTTGAGTGTACAATTTAGCTTCAAAAATATCGTAAGATGAACTTTTGTTTGTCATGTTGAAGACTTGTATACATATGCCTTTAACAATATTGTGGGCAACATTATATTAGCTTTCTTATGACATTTCAGCTATGATCACATTAATGATTCTTCTATAGAACTAGAATACCTTTGTTTAGTTGCTTTGAAGATTCTTCACTTAGCATTGCAGGTTTGCAGCCTGTGAGACATGAAGTTTGATATAAGTTAATAAGGCACAAATTTCCGACATCATCTTGATTATGAAATAGTTGCTCAAAATTTCCTAGAACCAATACTTTCAGCCTATCCATGAAATTCCGCAGAAACTAGTTGACACCATTATCATCAAATGATGTTTATTAGGAACAAAATTAATTTTGAAACCTTAATTCTTTGTCTAGGAGGACGCTCTCAAACCGCAAGGTTAGTGCCACCACTGGAGCTGCATCGGTTCCTGATGAGGTATTCCACAAAGCCAGAGGCGTCCAGCTCTACAACACGCAAGCATATCAATGCAATCCTGCATATTTTGCTGATTCATATTTGCTCAACCGCTTCTCATCTGAAGTCATCGCTGACCGAACTCCCATTCCCCCTGCCTCGAGAGTCATCTGTGAGCGTCACACAATCTCAGTTGTGCCTGTAACACGTGTCACCATGGCTCATCGCAATAAAGCCTTCAGTTTCTATATCATTGGAGTTAATAGAGAGGTATATATAAGGGATTATCCTTCGAAGTTCTGTTGGGGCCTCTGCTGCTGTTTGGAGTGGTTGAAAGTATAACATTTCCACCTTCAATTTTTCAAATTGCTGCTACTTGTATGTAATTTTGTTATGATTTATATGCTTGAGTACAATTGTTTCTGTATTTGCATCGTCAGTGTATTATAAGTTTATATATGCAATGCGTGAGTGCATAATTTTGGTTATACTTTTTCTTGTTTTGGACGTTTTTCTGTGGAATTTATGTGTCAGATAATTTAAGAACTGTCGTGTTTTTTATATGTTTTTGGTCTTTGTTAGTTATGACTATTATCACTTATTTATAATTGTTATTTTACGTTTGGTATTATAGTATATCTACGCAAAAGGATCAAATTGCTGAATGCCTATCTGTACTTTAAATTTCTTTATAAATTTATGTTCGTGTGATCATCTGTGTATTTTTTTTTTACCGCGAGTTTATTTATGAACCGATTGACTGCATAATTTTGGTTATAAATTTTCCTCGAGTGGAACGTTGATTTTGGTCGTTATCATCTTATGTGTAATGATTATTATGTTTTCGCCCACTGTTGCTGATTAGAGTGGTTGAATAAACTTCATACCAAGGATTAGTAACATTGTTGGGAATATTAGCTGTTTAGACAATAATTAATACGAAATTAAGTTATAAACAGTTGATTATTAAATCAGATAATATCAGATAAATATTATAACACAGAAATAATATAATTTAAACAAAAAATAAATTATGTTAGAAATACGGCCTGATGGTCGAGGCGTGCAAGACACTGTCCCAAGAATCTAATTGTCCCCTCTCGTGCTAGGCTATACGGTAATAGTTCTCGGAGATATAACGACCCTCGGTCAGGCGACCTCATTTAAGTCCATAAATCCGTAGTTAATATGTTTTAATCTAATTGCCCCCTCAATCCGAAGCTGCATTCGTGTCTGCAGGTCGTGTGCGTCTCGGTCCGGCCGGCGCGCGCGTGTGTAGTGTGGAGTATAAGTGTATAACCTTTATTTTCTTCTAGGCATAAGAGAGAAGGGAAAGACTTATAAGTACAATTCCTTCCTATTCCATTTCCTATGTGTAACTAAACTTTCCCACTACAATGTTAAGTTTTAAGTTACACTTATTATAACTCCAACATTCTAGTACCCTGAGGTATTGTGCAATTGCACAGGTAATTCTAAAGTCTGCGTATCTAAATGAATAATCTTAAGATTGCAAATTATAACTTATAAAAATATTGGGGTAGTGTTTGCGTACCTGGTCCGCAAAAGGTTAAGTCCCTACGGGCATGGCCCGTGATAATTTAGAAATAAATTTATTTTCCGATTTCTAATAGGAATAGTAAAACCAGTCATAATAAATACGCTACCGCTGCAACTAGAACTCTAAGCTGGGCAGAAGTCGGAGTGGACAAAGGATTCTGGTTCTATACATATATGTACAAATAAAACGACGAAGATAACATATATAATCATCAAAAATAATAATACGCTCCTACTGAAACTCTATAGGATTTAGAAATTCCTGCGCTTGTGCGTACGTACATAATTAATACGTGCTATAGCTGCGTCTCTACTCGAAGAAAATCAATATCCATCAATGGCTTCGGTTAGAGTCCAGATGGAGAGCCCGAGACCAGCCATCATCATAAGCAATTGTAAGAGGAATAAAAATTTCATGGTGCTTGCGCGGATTGCCACGTTAATTATGCTTTTAGTGCCGTCCTCGCTGCTGCTTCTACTTCAAGAGCAGCACATGATCTCAGAGCTCAGGGTAGATGCGGACGTGACTAATTACGTGGTAATAATGCCCATTGAAACCTTATTAATTCGTATTATTTCTTAGTTTTTCCTCTTGTTTTTTCATAGAAAATTCTCAAGTTCTTCTTTAATTTGCTAGCTAATCGCTAAAATCCTTAATTATATCTCCGTGATTTTTAAAAGATACTGATAAGTGATTCCATGCATGCAACCTGCAGGAACTCTATACAATATTCAATGTTAACTAGGTATTAAATTTTTTGACTGCAACGTTAGGAGAATTTTTTCTAAATATGATAAACTTGTGGGTTTGATTCCTTAATAGTGTTCTAGTTGGTGCCTATTACTTGTCTTTTTTTTTTCTTTTTTTTTTTGCCCGGTGTCCATGTTGTTATACATGCGTATATGAAGTACAAGCCATATATGTTTGTAGTTTGTAAACTTCTCTATGGTAGTCATGTATTGATGATGACTGTTGTTTAATTACTTGATGTTTGTTGTTGGGATTAGGGGTGGAAATGAACCAAACAATTAACAAATAGTTTGATATTAATATTTGGAATAACTATTCGGTCATATCCGATTTGGTAGTTCATTTACCACTAAACAAATATTTTTTAGTATTCGAGTTTACTAACGAATAGAATTTAACCAGATGCATATTCGATTCGTTTGTCTATTAAATATTCGTTTAAAATTTGATCACACATTATTATTTGTATTAGTGCACATATGATGTCTTATTTTTAACTCACTTACCATTTATACTTAAGTCTTATATACTGGTTTTAAGACTTAGATAATCTTAAATCTGTTTTCTAATTAAAATTTTAATTTAAATATATACATCATATATTATAAAGAAATATTTTTTATTAATGAATTGTAATATTATATGAAAATCAAATCTTTTAGCAGAATAAATATACTTTGATATTCGATAAGTATTCGTAAATATTCATGAATATTTATCAAGTACCAAGTATTCGAATTCGAATTCGAAAAACTAGATATATGAATATTAGAGTCTGCGTTCGAATTCGATAATTTTAAATAAATACAAATACGAACACCTTAGTATTTTGATTCGATCTTTTACCACCCCTATCCCCACCCTCTAATTCCGCTTCTAAGATTAGTTTACATTTATTTATATAGATTTTATAATGATGATTATAACAAACTCTCCCTTCATTGTTTATCACTTATATCAGGACTACAAGATTTGGGCCCAACCAAATAGTGAGGGTTTTCACCAATGCATTCAGCCCTCAAAAAACAGAGAAAGTACGTCAACAATGCTCGTTTTTCTTCTTCTCCGTTTGTTAGGTTAAATGCGTGAAACATCATCTTTTTTTCCTAACTCAGCCTCTTCTTTATTTGCAGGAAATCCTGTAAAGGCAACAAATGGCTATCTTGTAGTTCATGCCAACGGTGGTTTGAATCAGATGAAGATGGGGGTATTTACCGATCACAGAATTACACGAACGTAGTTTTTAATGATAAAACACTGCTTACGACTAAAGTTTCTATTGCTTAAATGCAGATATGTGACATGGTAGCAGTAGCAAAACTCATGAATGCAACGTTAGTCGTTCCTTATTTTGATCACACTTCATATTGGAAAGATCCTAGGTACGCAATATTGCTATTGCTTTTGTTCATGCCAGAGAAAATTGTTCGAAATCTCTGACGCAAATTTTGAAAAAATCATTTTACAGTGAATTTGGAGATATATTCGATTTAAAGCATTTTATTAAAACTTTGGAAGCTGATGTTCGGATAGTAAAGCGTCTACCAGCTAAGTATAAAGGAATGCAAGCCCACGTTATGAAACCAAGATCTTGGTCTAAGGTAAAGACTCATTATGCGTCTTATAGTATCTGATACATGAATTTTAATAGCAATTTCGGATTAAAATTGTTACCCTTTTTTTTTTTACCTTGGGCAGGCTTTTTATTACCAAAAAGAACTTTCAAAAATTTTGAAGCAGAAAAAGGTGATAGAGTTTGCATTCGCAGACGCTCGGCTTGCGAATAATGATGTCCCACGTCCTATTCAGAAACTTCGTTGCCGAGCATGCTACAAAGCGCTTCGCTTCACAGATAAAATCCAGGAGCTAGGAAATACAGTGATTTCGAGGCTCAGAGCTACAGGGAATCGTTATCTTGCTCTTCATTTAAGGTATGTACATAAGATCTATTTACAGGAGAAGGGTTGCTTTGTTCAAATTTAGTCATGATTAAGTTTCGCACAAATTTGAGTTTATTCGACCCCTTCGTCTCGTTATATTCTCATCTCTGTGAGTATCAGTGACCTTAGGCGAATTTCACAAAATTACAATGACATGTGACATTTTTCAACCATTTTGCCCTTATGTACTTCCTATATCATCTACATTAGCCTCATGAGCTCTATGGACTGATACAGATAAAGTGCATTTAGAGGTTTTTTATGAGTCATTTAACACCATTTTCAACAATTTCCCGTATTTCATTTTAGTTCTTAGTCTTTTTCTCATACAAATTTCTAAACACGCAGATATGAGAAGGATATGCTAGCCTTCACAGGTTGCAATCACAACCTCACCTCAAGCCAAGCAGAAGAACTAAGACTCCACAGACTAAGTGTTGTTCGTTGGAAAGAGAAAAATATCGATGGGGATGAAAAAAGAAGAGAAGGGAGATGCCCAATGACTCCAAGAGAGACTGTAAAATTTCTAAAGGCCATGGGATATCCAAGCTCTACAGTGATTTACATTGTAGCGGGAGAAATCTATGGAACAAACAGCTTGGAAATTATCAAAGAAGAGTACCCGCGCCTTTATACACATCATAGTTTAACTACACCTGCAGAAATGGGAGCTTTGAGGGTGTTAAATAATCAGCTGGCTGCTTTGGATTATATTGTGGCACTCAGCAGCGATGTTTTTGTTTACACTCATGATGGTAACATGGCTAAAGCCGTGGAGGGGCACAGGAGGTTTGAGGGTTTTCGGAAGACAATTTCTCCTGATAGGTATTTTCCATTGCCGTAAATTTATCTCTCAAGCCAATTCAGACCTATAACTACAATGATTACATGTTATAACCTAGTAAACTAGTCATACACAAAACACGAAGATAATATTTACTTCCAAATGATATTGAAAAGCTTTTTTCGCGTTTTCGTATGCTTAATTGCGTCTGTTTTAATCTGTTTATAGGTTACTAACGAATTATTTTTGATGTCAGGAGAAAATATGTGGAGCTTATTGACCGGTTTGATAATGGGGAGATGAATGAGATTGAGTTTCAAGAGAGGGTGAAGGAGGAACATGAAACTAGGATTGGGGGTCCTTTGATGAGGCGGCGTGGGGAAATACCAAAGCAAGAAGACTACTTTTATGCAAACCCTTTGCCAGGTTGCATTTGTCACTGAAATTATACTTTGTATTGTTTATAATTTGTATTCTAATGACCAGTTTTGTTTTTTTTTTTTTTTCTCGAGACAATCCAGTTTAAATAAAACATTTTTGGTACATATATAATTTGCCTGTTTGTACCTTTGTGGATCTTGATAAATTGTTATGGTTTTAGACTTAACAGATTTCGTGATTTTTGCCCTTTGATCTTATGACCATAACTCTATGGACTCCAGTAGTTGGGTTGCAATTATTTGAATCGATCAATATGGCTTCTATAATATCTGAACTCGTGACTAGTCCATGATTGTTGAATAGGACTTATGTCATCTGAAGGATCTCGAAAGAGAGTTTAATATGGAACTCATTGTAGCTGTTTACAAAGAATGCAGATACACAAGTATACACCTATGATATAGATGCAAAACTGTGAGATAGATTTCTCAAAAGGAAAAAAAGGATATAGAAATTAGTTCATATATATTAAAGAACCATTTGATCAACTATACCAGTCAAGAAAGAGAATGAAAAAAAGTAAGGATAAATAAGAAAATAAATAGAAAAGTTCTGCTGCATGTTACTATTTCGCTTAATTGCTTATGCCAGCTCCTTGTTACACTTCCCCACATTCTTTGCAGCTTCAATGGCCTGGTAATAGAGCTTCTTCTCAAATCAGTAACAAAGTATTGATTAATAGAATGGTGGTAACAGGATCGAAACACTTGTGGGCGCACTGTTCTTTTGTGTTCATGTGTGTGTATGTATGCTACAAAGGAGGGAGTGCTTTGCTATATGGGAACCTGCTCAGTGGGGAGCGTAAAATGTCATTCATTTGCAGCAGAAAATACTGCACCAATAGTGTAATTGGGGAATTAAGTATCTACTGCAGAGTGCTTGTTTTATATGGAAAAATAAATCACAGTCCATAAAAAGGATGACACCTTTAACCAAATAAATTCATATTAATTAACGAGAAATTAAAAAAAGTTACCAACCTGCTCATATAAATGCTCAATTTGCTGAGCCTGTTGTAGGACATGAGTGGACATGAGATGATTAAATGCTTACATCTCCACCATCTTCGATTCCGTCTCTTGAACAGCATATAGAAGGCTTGCTAACTCAACCTGTTCAAAAGGGGAGTAGAGAAAATCTATTATATACACAAACATTACCAAGTTTTTTGCTCACAGATTGAGGTTCCTTAAAACAACTCCTCCATGAAACAATACTAAACCTCAAGCACACGAGTCTCATTATCCAAAAGTTGATCCTGGACTCGCATAGGCCCGGAATTAGAAGGAAACTCCTGCTCATTAAACTCTTGCGAGATCATACTTGAATGTGTCAGAATATTTTACATCAGGTACTCTTCGCAACTTTCTCCTTGGCATTGCTCTATTATCAGCATCCTGACAGCGTATGCCTATGAAACTGAGCCATAACAGTATGAAGTCGTTCAGTCTGTCAGAATCAAAACCTGCAGTTTAATAGAGAGAGAACAGGAAACTATTCAACGAACAACTAGAATGGCAGACATTAACAGAGAGCAAGTTAAGCATGAGGATTAACATGGTTTATTGCTAAATATGCTGGACACATTTAAAATAAAATTAAATCTCAATTCCTCAGGGAACAATTTCATAGTTCATCCTTTCATTTCTAGTTGTCAGTTCCTTACTGAAAGGCTCCATTATTTCCTCTTCCACTAGGGGATAAAATGAAGAGGAAAGATAAACCGAGTGTCTCAAATCAACAGCGCAAGATAGCACTAGAATGGTACAACCTCAGACACTGTCATGTTAACGAGTACCTACATATCGTGTGGCTACAAAGCCAGAAGGAAGCACTTTCATTGAGTTTTCTCCCCTCAATTCATTTGCGAATTGTTTCATCCCTCTCATAATATTGATAGAAGAAGTTATCCTCTAGTAAAACAGCATATTACTTGATAGAAAAATAAAGGGCAAATTTGCAAAATAGACCGTTTTTGAAAAAAAATTAGCGAAATAGACCGTTTTTGGAAAAAATTAGCAAAATAGACCGTTTTTTGGGAAAAGAGGTCGATTTTGAAAAATGGATCAGAAAACATACGGGGCTACTAGTCCCGTATGTTTAAAGTTCACTAATTTTGTTTGTTAACAAAACGTACGGGACTAGTAGTCCCGTACGTTTTCCAGAGCCAGCGAAGCCTATGCCAAGCAAATCCACGGGACTACTAGTCCCGTGGATTTCGCGAGCATTAAAGCTGGTCTGCAATTTATACGGGACTACTAGTCCCGTATAATTACAGACTATATATACACCGAACCTAGGGCACATTTTCCCCTTCGTTTTTTTCTCTCACCATCTCCCTCTCTCCCCCCCGAGCACCCACTTCCGATCCCCTCTCTCTCTCTCTCTCTCCTGAGCTCAACTCTAGATCTCCCCCTCTCTCTTTCCCGAGCTCTCATTCTCTCCCAAGCCGATCAAAGCTCTCATTCTCTCCCAAACCCGATCTCCATCTATCCCAAAACCCAACAATCCCTATCTCTCTCCCCCAAACCCAACTCACCTCTTCCTCCCTCAAATCTGACGCCGACGCCGTCGATTCTCTGCGAGGCCGAGGAGATCTGAGATTTAATCAAGGTACAAATTTTAATTTTTCCATAAATTTATATGTATTGTTTAGTTAATGTTGTATATCTAGAAGAAATATATGATTATGGTCTAGAAAAATCTCTGGAAAAAAATATAATTATTATACGATGAATTTTAATGCTTCAGTTAAAATGGCGAACGAAGTACCGATTATTTGCTTATTCAATGGAAATCTGAGTATTGGAATGAATAATATGCCTATATACGATGGAGGCTCTAGGAAAATGTTCATGTTGTCCAGAAATTACAACTTTGATAGATTGGTGGCGCAAATATACAGAGTCACTGGAATTAATCACGTCGAAAATTCCATTAAGATCTTCTGTAATTGTCCAATAAATGATCAAAGAACAATTGCTGTAGAGATCACCAATGATGAAGAATTGAATAACATGATACAGCTTGCGGAAAAACAAGTATCAATCGAGTTGTTTATTGAAAATATTCCAGTGTATTCGGTCGCTGAAGTTTCATATGCTCGTGGAGAGTTCTCCCGCATGCTTGATAATCAAATCTCGTTATCTCAAAGTGCCATGCGCTTTAAAAATGAGTCGGGTGCAATGTCAAATGACGTGTTCCACAACTCGCCGGGTTATGTTTCAGTTGATTTACCGGGGGGTTCTACAATAGCAGAGGATAATGATGAGGATGTAGATGCCGATGATGATACTGAAGATGCTGAAGAGGATGAACGTCTTGATAGTATGCAGTATGCAATTGGAGAGACCAATGATGACGTAAGTTGGATGGATGAATATTGCGTAAATAACGACTACGTAGAGTCTGAAGAGCCGTTGCCAGAAGAGTTTCAAAATGATGAGTGGATAAATGCCTCACAAGCTGAGTTCGTCGATCCTGGCCCTAATTTCGATCCATCCGAGGACTTTACTTTCAAGAAAGGAGATCTTTTCGAGAACAAGGAAACATTAATTTTCGCTATACGTGAATGGACAATAAAAAACCGGGTCAAATTCAAGACGGTGAAAAGCAACACAACTAGCTATCATGTAAAGTGTTACTTTAATGAGAGAGGTCAAGGAGAGAATACAAGTGCTGCAGATGATAGAAATTCAAAGTGTCCATGGAAGCTTAATGCAGCTATTAGGAAAAAATCACTTGGCCAGTTTATAATCTCTAGTTATTGCGGACTCCATACATGTTCTAATTCGACTGCAACTTATGATCATAAGACTTTGACTTCCTCTTATATCGCAAAGCTAATTATGCCCGAAGTTAGGCGGGAACTTGATCTTACTCCAGGACAGATAATTACAAGGGTATATGACATGAAAAGAATAACAATTTCCAAGTTTAAAGCATATGATGCACGGAGGAAGGCGTTGACTAAAATCTTTGGAGATTGGGAGGAATCTTACCAATTACTTCCGCATTACCTTTCAGCAATTGTGCGGAACAATCCGGGTACCGAATATGACATAGTGTCTAAGGAGGTCGCACCAGAAACGGAGAGGTTCATATGTGTTTTTTGGGCATTTGGGCCCGCTATCAGAGGGTTCTCTTTTTGTCGTCCGCTCTTAAGTATCGATGGAACACATTTATATGGCAAGTACAAAGGAGTGCTCTTGGTTGCGACCGGTGTAGATGCAAACGGTGGGCTATTTCCTGTAGCTTTTGCAGTTGTGGAGGTGGAGGATACATCGAGTTGGAAGTGGTTTTTTCAATGTATTTACAAATATATTCCGACTGTTCAAAGTCCACGAGTTATTACCTTTATTTCTGACCGGATGAAAGGAATTCCACGAGCCTTGCACGAGGGGTGGAGTGCACCACATCATCACCGATATTGCTTGCGGCATATAAGAGCTAATTTTAAGAAAAAACATGGAGAGGTCAATTTACAAAATCTATTATGGCAAGCCGGTTGTGCAACTGACTCACTGGTATATGAGCATTGTAGAGAGAAAATTAAATCCATATCACTTGAAGCCCACGATTGGATTGAACAAAACTTGAAGCCGCAATACGAAGATCGATGGGCATTATGTAAAGATGGTGGAGTGCGATATTGTATGATGACAACTAATTGTTCCGAAAGTTTCAACGGCGTACTTAAGGGTGCCCGTGCTATGCCAATTCAAGCCTTAGTTGCAAGGACGTTTTATAGATTGAACGCATATTTTAATAAGAGGCGCATTGATAGTGCAAATTGGACGAGTAAGTACACTCCAAAAAATGAGATTATTTTGCAGAAAAGGATTGTGGCTGTGAGAACATGTAGAATTGAACAATTCAACAACAATGAGTGGGAGGTTAAAGATTGTGATGGTACATACACCGTTCATCTCGACGATCAGGAGTGCAGTTGTACTTGTAGTATACCACAATTACAGAAAATCCCATGTCAACACGTTTTAGCGGCTAGTTCCAATCAAGATGGTGGTGCTAGATTGCCTTATGACCGGTATTGCTCAGCTTGGTATTCAACAAATCATTATCGGAAGGCTTATAAGGAGAGTTTTCATCCTCCCGATGATACTCGCTATTGGCCGGAATTATATATACCGTACTTATTACCACCTAAGCACAAAAGACAAGCTGGACGACCAAAATCCGTACGCATTAGATCTACCATGGATCAAGGTCGTGAAGGAGTAGCGTCACGAATCCGATGTGGACAATGTAATCAATTAGGACATAATAGGTCTCGTTGTCCATCAAGAGCAAGTAGATAGCAATTAATTTGTAAGTAAAATATTTTCTAATGATATGTCATCATTATATGTTATTGATTTAGCAAGTAGATACATTGTTCATATGTATTTGATTTGGCAGAAACTCATAAGTTACCGTTATATGTGCAGGTATATACACGATGCTTCCCGGACCGGATAATGATGAAGTCCTTTATGATCAGTCACGCCACCGTTCGGAGAGCATATCATTGACATCGGTAATGATAACATATTTACAGTCACATATTACTTATTCATTTTTATAATCTTTGTATTCATTTATGTGCAGAGAGGACAAGAGCTGGTTATGATTGATCATAGCCTTGGACATACGTGCTGGCCACTTGATGATCCTCGCATCATTGCCCTAGTATCCCAAGCCGGTTTTCTTACTTGCTCAAAATTGAAATGGATGAAGCTCGATTGGGCACTGCTTAACGCGTTGATGGATAGATGGAGGCCGGAGACTAATACTTTCCATCTACGTGTCGGCGAGACAACTATTACTCTCCAGGATGTAGCAGTGATCCTAGGTCTCCGCATTGATGGCCCTTGTATCACGGGGACTGATAGGCATGTTTGGCGAGATGTATGTGATAATTTGTTAGGAATATCTCCGGAGTCCTTGCCTGGAGGGTATATTAGATTGAAGTGGCTTAAGGAGAGTTTTGGAAACCCGTTGCCACAAGATGCACCTGAAGTGATGATCCAACAGCATGCGAGAGCATATATTATGCACATGATCGGGACACTTCTTTTTCCCGATTCAAGTAAACATAAAGTCCATTTGAGGTAAGTAAACATTAAGTATTGATTTTTGCTCACTATTCTTAGTATACATGACTAACGTATTTGAACTCGCGCTAGGTGGTTACCACTTATCGAAGACTTCGACATGTGCGGGACATTATCCTGGGGTAGTGCTGTTTTAGCATACCTATATCGAGAAATGTCAAAGGTTGCTTTAATGCAGAATAAGGAGCTCAAGGGTTGTTTAACTTTGCTACAAGTTTGGGCATGGGAAAGATTGGTTTTGAAACCACGATTATGCGAGATCCGAGAGTTAGATGGACATATTCCACTAGGCTGCAGGTAAAAAGCGTCAAATTGAATCTCATTTGTATTTAATTTTAAATTTAACATTTTGAACAAGGAAACATTTCTTGCAGATGGAATGTCACAAAAGCTTATGATGAGACCCCGGCTAGGCAATTAGACTTTTACAGAGGGGAGCTCGACCGGATGAAAATTTTTCAGGTATCGAATTTGAATTGAAGTACTCTATGATATCAATATATTTCAAAGAGATATTAACATTTGGACTTTTTTGCAGTTCGAGTGGCAGCCATACACCCCTCACCTACCTCGTCTACCGCTGATTTGTATGGAGGGCCACGGCATATGGAGGGCCAGAGTTCCTCTCGTTTGTTTCGAGATTGTGGAGATGCACGTACCCGATCGCGTGTTTAGACAGTTTGGACTCGCGCAACATGCTCCACAATATGTCGAAAAAATAGAGAGAAAGGCGACTAAAGGTGGACATCAGATTGACTGGAGGCGCACGCATCAATCATACATAGCTCGGTGGAATGATCGGCATCAACTTATTGTCGATCCGCTTTATCCTCCGATGGAAGAAGTTGATTACATTAAATGGTATTGGGGGATTACCAGACGTTGGATAATCACTCAAACTACGCCTCCAGTCGACGAAATCGAGATTCGCTCCCAACAATCCCGATATGTACCAAGAGGGGTAGATGAGCGACGATGGGTAAGTTAAATTGTCAAAATTATCATAGAATGTCAATCTCTTCTTAGCTTATGGTTTCTAATATCAATATTTTTATGTAATTGTAGATAGATGCTATGGATGACGTCGAGGGGCTTGCAAATGAGGGCATAGTTACCGCCACAGGAGATTCAGTACATGTATCGATATTGCATCGGATAGTGGCGAGAGTTCGTAAAGCTTTTCAACAAACTTATGAGGATCGACATGATGGTCGTGAGCAGGTGGATCTTGACGATACTCTATATGTACGCCGACGTAGGCGCGGTAGACCTTGCACGCACGACGATGAAGCCGGTCCGTCACAGCAAGCCGGTCCATCACAGCCCCACACACAACCGGAGAGCGAGCATATTCAAGCTCAAGTCGAAGGAGGACGCCGACGATCTCAACGAGTGCGAAGAGAGAGACGACGGGGAAGGGGTGGATTTTTTATTTGTTAGTTTTTCCACTAAGATATATATTGTCGTATGGATTTATTGACCTTGGATTTGTTTATCTTAAACTACATATTATCGTATGGGTCGACTTGAGACATTTGGATTTGTTTAGCTTAGACTGATATATATTATCGTATGGATTTGTGATGTGTATTTTTGTCGGATTTTGGATGTGATGTGTATTCCGTTGGATTTGTGTTGTGATGTTGTTGATTACGTCAGATTTGTGTGGTGACGTACTCTATGATGAGATTTGTGTTGTGATATTGTAAATGATATCTTTTTGGCGAAAATTTTGCTTGTAATCGATAAATGAGGCCCGTGCATGTTTGGTGTATCCTGCCCAGCAAATCCACGGGACTAATAGTCCCGTGGATTTGCTGGGCAGGGTCTTTAGCTGCTCTGCAAAATCCACGGGACTAGTAGTCCCGTGGATTTGCTGGGTAGGGGCTTTAGCTGCTCTGCAAAATCCACGGGACTAGTAGTCCCGTGGATTTGCTGGGCAGTGGAATTGGCTACTGTCAAAACGTACGGGACTACTAGTCCCGTACGTTTTGTTAACAACAAAATTAGTGAACTTTAAACATACGGGACTAGTAGTCCCGTATGTTTTCTGATCCATTTTTCAAAATCGACCTCTTTTCCCAAAAAACGGTCTATTTTGCTAGTTTTTTCCAAAAACGGTCTATTTCGCTAATTTTTTTCCAAAAACGGTCTATTTTGCAAATTTGCCCAAAAATAAATTGAGCATGTAGATGTACATCTAATCAGAGAAATATGACTAGGCTCTGCAACTGTATCAAACCAAGTATAGTTGAATAATATGTGAAATATTCAGTCATTAATAGCATACCATGCCATGCTTGTGAGCTATAACATCTGCATGAGAGCTATCGTGTCTCACAGAAAGCCATCTGGTTGAGTTTCCATCACTCTCCTCATCATGTATTCTACTCTTAGGAATATCAATCTGATCCTTGCATGCTTTCACAAAAAAAGCTAATTTCAGCACAAAGCAAATCTAATAAAAGGGTAGGATAGTTAGTCTAGGCTTGAAGGAAAACACAACTTAGATATGGACTCTTAGGGAATCGCAAGTAACCCACTTCATGCTCAATGTTGTCCTTTCTTGCTCAGTTGCGTGATACAAATCAACATAATCTTTCCAATGCTTCACGATAAAATGTTCCAATTTGTTGATGCTTTCTAGCTACAAATGAACACTCCACAGTTCCCAGTAAAGGTCAGATTTTTTATAAATACATTAAAAAACAAAAAGTAATAATTGAAATAGATCAATGAAAAAAAAAATAGAAAGTGTCATTGGTTCTATTTACCATCTTGAGTGCAGCTTTAGCAAAAGGGGATCTCTGTGGAGGATTGTGCATAATGAAAGCAGCCATAATAGCTGCCAAATTGGACTATCAAGGAAATACCGGAGTAAGATATGTGATTTTACAAAATCTGATAAAGTCATGCAAACTTTATTAACTGATGATACCAATCTGTAGATTTTTTTTGTAAGAGCTATCTTGTAGAGCGACAATATTTTATAAAATTTGGCAATCCAAAAGGTTAAAACTGTTGAGTCATTGAGTAACAATGTCTCACGGTTATGGGTGCAAGTGCGGACATGGACATGGGTGCATATACGGAACACGTCAAAATTGTAAAAATTGGGATACATGGACACAACTATATACATACATATTAAAATCAACAATCCATATGAGATCGATATCGCTTTTGCATTCACATGTTATAGAACTAAAATTCTTATAGCTTTTTATGTTTTTTTATTGAGTAGATTGTAAATTGAAAAACCACTCGTTTTTGAACTAGATACCAAATGACTCTTTAAAAACATACTTATTTATAATCATATTACTTATGAACTACGTATGTGATAAAATAAACCTGTTCGAGGTCTAACAAGTTGCATAAATTTGTAGAAACCGCGATGAGTTTTGGTGAAGAACAGGCATTTGGGGCGCAGGAGTCACTTTGGGAGCTGCGTGGTCGACCGCGGCGCAAGGCCGGTCGATCGCGATCGTGCACGGATCCAAGGTTTGTGCCTGGACTTGGCGCGGTCGACCGCAAGACCCTATAGGTGAATTTGGTCTCTGTCGCTGGATCGTAGTCGACCGTGGCGGTCGACCGCATAACTGGTCAGGCCCAATATTGGTTTCCTTTTCAGTTTGGGTTTGGTATTTACTATAAATACCAACATACAAATTAGGGTTTCTTTGGAGATTGGTTTGGGGATATTGGAGCACAGAAGAAGGAGGTATTTTCTGAGCAATTGTTTGAGGGTTTATTTGGAGAGATTAAGAGATTTGTTGGTAAGATTAGTTGATTGCTTTGAGCGTTTTGTAATCTTAGTTTGTACTCTTCTTCTCTATTAGTGAAAACCCAATCCCCTTCTTGCCCCGTGGACGTAGGCAATTTGCTGAACCACGTAAAACTATTGTGTTTGGATTTGTGCCGTTGTTTTGATTTGTTTGGCCTTTATCTCGACGTTTGTTTGATTTGGTTCTTGAAGCATGCCCGTTTGGTTGTCACGCTTCCGCGCCACGCACAACAAAATTTGAGGTGAAATGTACGATATATGTTCAAGAAGTGTATCACACGTTCTAAACCAAAATATGTGTTATATAATTGAGTACATGTCTGAATAAATATTCGTATATGTTAAAGACCTGTTCAAGAAGTGTCCGACATAGACACGGATATAGAAAGTGTTGGACACATATACGGGAGCGTAGATGGAGCGTCAGGTAACCTAGGGGTCCAACTATTCACACTCCCAAACAGTAACTTTGGGGGTGTGTGAGGACTAAATTGCCCTTCTCCCAAACCAAAACAAGCCAAGTCCATTACAGAAACACCCTCAACATCAAAAGGGCATTTTCGGCAATCAAACTCCCAAAATTACTGTTTGGGAGTGGATATAGCAAACATGGTTACCTAGGGACTAACAATGTATATAACATAACTCTTAACATTAACATTAAAAAAAAGGATTACTGCTTGAAGTATATTTACCATTAACACATGCCAAGTTCTAATTTCACCATTATATGACATGAATTAGTGTTTTGGGGCTGATGAATAAAACGATCAAACCTCAGTGTATCCAGACGAGAGAGCTGCAGCGCGAACAACCTCCCTAAATCTTCACTTCTCTCCCCAATTTTGGCCATCTCCTTCTCCTCAATCCAGTCTTCACTTTCTCTACAAATTTTCTTAAATTAGTAAAAATATTTAAAAAAGTAAAATTTCTTTACATTTCAACAAGAAGATAGATAATAAGAATATCGAACAATACCTTAATCTTTACTCAGAGATCAAAAGGGAAATAATAATTAAAAAAAAGGCCTAAAAGTGTGCTCGAAACATGGATTTTTTAGAACGGGCTTTCCAATCTCGGGGCCCGTTACTATATAATGATCTCTCAAAGTCTATTCTTTTGAACCGGAAATAGTATTCACACTTCTTAGTTATTTATCTTGGGTTTCCTCTGTAGCCCACAAAGTATCCAGCCCAACTAAGAAATACCTTTGAACCGGCCCAATAAGAACTAGATCGTAGTCACTCTGTTCTTTCTTTCTTTCTTCCTTCCTCTGTTGGAGAGCAATCAAGAAGACGGAAGTGACGAGCATCAGCAGAGATCCAAGGATTTGAGGTTCTTGATCTTTATAAATTTCGATATTTAATTAAGTATCTTCCTGTTTATTTTTACCATCATGCATCTTGCATTTCTCCCGTGCCCAATTCTGAATCAGGCGAGTTAGGGTTTACTCGTGAACTAGATCTCTTTATTATTATTATTATTTGCCTTAGTCTTTTCCCCCGTATCGCCTTAATTTTTTTCTGAAATGTGACTGCAATCAACATCTCGACTTCAGGCTGTTGCTTTTCTCAGTTTCGATTATAATCATATTTTGAATTTTCTGGATACTTTCGGCAGTTAATGAAGGGGGAAGGGAATGATTGGATCTTTGTGTTATGCCCTAGTAATGTATAATTGAAGGGGTCAAACCATTAAGATCCATTGATAACGCACATAGAGATGACGAGGGAGAAGAGAGAGAAGTACAGAAGGGAGAGCTTAGAGGATGGTTTAGAATGATCAGAGTTGTGTATGTCGCATAGAGATGGGTTCCTTGGAGTTTTATCGGCCATGATTGTCATTAAAGCATTTTTACTATCATGTCTGTGTAAACAAAGAAAGAGAGAAGTACACTAGGAGAAACTAAGAAGTGTTAAGAGGATGAAACAGGCTAATTGCTTGTATTTCTTGTGAGACGGACGAGGTCGTATCTCAAGCCATTTATTGTTAGAATGATTAGAGTTGTATATGTTGAGTGCCACGAAGCTTTATGGACATGATTAGCATTTGAGTGTTTTTACTATTAAGTTTGTGTCACCAAAGAGGCCCGAATGTTTGAAAATAATCGACCAGTTTGTTAGCACAAGAGTATTCCAATAGCATATCTTGTTCCTTGGTATCTCTTGAGTATCGTGTTGGGACAATTTAGCACATTATGGGTTTAGAAAAATGTTATCCGGGTTTGTACTTGTTTAGTTTCCATTGAAGTAGTGGAAGCTTTTTTGGAAGTAGCAAATGTATTCTTACAACAGCTTACCTTTTTGCTGATAGGTCATTACACGGAAAATGCAAGTAGCGTAGGGATGGAAGTGAACCAAATAATTAATACACAGTTCGGTTAATATTCGTCCGGATATTTGATCATATTTGATCCGGTAGTTCTCTTAATACTAAACGAATAATTTTTAGTATTTGGCTTATAAATGAATAGAATTTAACCAAAGGTATATTCGATTCGGTTGATTATTAATTATCCGTTTATATTTTAAATTTTATTTTTTTATGAATATAATTTGTTTTTTTATAGCTATAAATATAATTGGTTATAAATCTCATTCATCGCCAAACCTTTTTTCCCTAAAATTCCAAATCAATCGTATCCCTACAAATTCAAATCAATGTAAATAACTTAATAGGCTGGGCCACCACTTATATAAGGTTATACTATAGGCCCATTTTGGTAAGTCCACAGTCTAGGCCCATACAAGAAAAAATATAAGGTAAGGGTTTCTCTTCTCTCATGTCTCAAACTGCCGCTGTCTCCGACATAGCAACGCACACGACTCGTTCTCTTCATCTTGTGTTCGACGGGCGGATTGCTGATCGGAAGGTGCTGACGACGAGGATCTCACTTCCAAACATTTCACGGTTAGGCTTTCTCTTTCTCATCTTATGCGTTCGACGAGCGGAAGCCTTTGTAGATATGACGATGAGATTGTAGGAGAGGTTTAATCGAATGCCCACGAATAATTGACGAATAGAAGTGTAAATATACGAACTGAATTTGAATTCAGTTTAGTATTCGAGTCGAATTCGACCACGAATTTGAATATCACCATATGAATCGAACTCGGATTCGAATGTCAATATTGTGATATTCGATTCCACCCCTTAGTGATAGGGTTAGCATGTGAATATGATGTGTAGCAAGCTTTTCCGTATATGTTTTTGAATAGATCATGGTTGTGTGTGTGTATGATGATGCAAGCTTCTCATCTTCTCCGCATTTGCCCTTCTCATACTTGGGTACTTTTTTTGTTTTCTCATGTTGTTTAGTGGACATTCTTTTTATATAGTAATATGTTCCTCAGAGGCTCAATCAATATCCGCACAATTGTTCTCTTATTCTTTAGGATTTTTATTAGTCCGTTAGAACATGGAGTGATGAAAAACGAAGGTTATTTTGTTTTGTGATTGTTGTTGTCCTTCTTGGCTATGAATTCATTCAACAAACAACATTTCAACCCCTAGAAGTGGTAATAAGGTTTCTCTTGCAGCATAACAATGTAAACATTTTCAGATTACCCTTGAACTGTCCCGTTTTTATTTGAAATCAGAGATAACTATCTAGCTTCAACATTTTTATAATTACCATATGGAGAGACTTTCAAGGTACCAAATGGCTGTGCTAAAACCCATCATGTTTTCACTTCCTTCCGATAAATACAGTCCCCAATGTCTTAAGGATTATAATGTTCTGTTGGCTATACTTTGAAATATAAATTTATACATTATGAGCGTCGTTTCACACTTTACAACCTTGTTATTCTCTTTTGTTTATGGTGTTCTCTCAAAGTTTTCGGTTGTGCAGTTCCTCTCGTTCCAGTAGCAGAACATCCCTACTAACTTTGTCATGAAAACTGTAGTTGCAGTATGCTTTCATCATTCTTTTTCATGCCACCTCTTTTTTGGCCAAAAAAAAAATGTTCTTCTTGAACTTGAAGCTCATTGTTCCGTATAGCAACATAACTTGGTATGAGTCTGATAATCTGTTCTCATGTTTAAATGCAGAAGCATTACCTTCAAGAATGGGGTTATGGACATTGCTCGAAGGCTTTCTGCTTCTTGCAAATGCGCTGGCAATACTGAACGAGGACAGGTTTCTTGCACCTAGAGGATGGAGCTTCTCAGATGTCTCAGGACTCCAACGAGCCAAATCATTGAAAGGGCAGCTCATAGGGCTCATCTATGCAACTCAATATCTGAGAGTACCCCTCATAGTTCTCAATGCTATTACCATCCTTGTGAAGCTCGTTTCTGGATGAGATTTAGCTTGGATTTTCTGCTTGTGGGTTAATTTGAGAAACAATATTTTTTGTGTACTGGATTGTACGTGACATTTGACGTTGTTTACATTTGCCGCTGAATTATGTATCAGCTTGCAATCATGTATGAAAAAATTGGAGATATAAAATTAGTGAATGACTGTCAGGTGTTTTGCTAATTATTTTTTCAAATTCAGTTTGGGTGGTTGTTTAAACAAATTTGGACAGTTTAATACAGATTTGTGTAATTGTTGGATGTTTGTTCAACGCATGCTCATTCTACCGTTCAAACTTTCAAATTTTACACGCACTTGCACTTCCACAATCCTTGGTTATATGGGTGGACAAGAAAATTCAGATGCTTATATTCTCCCAATGACTTTCCTACAAAGCTGAATTCGTAATGAACAAGGTACGCTCATTAACGCATAAAGCCTTTATAGATGCAAACGATAAGAATCGATGCTTATAATTCTTATCGATGCTTATAATGAGAGCAAACGGTAAAACACTTGGAGTAGAACCAGCAAGGAATTGGATAATTATTTGTGTTGAATGTAAACAAATTTGTGCATAGTAAGTACAATCAATCCCCAAATTTGCACAACACAATCAACACCTGCGGAGCCACTTCTTGATCATTTATTTGCGACTGAATGCCCTGAGAGATGAAACCACTAAATAAAGAACCAATGCTTCATAGGTCAGCAAACAGATGATACGTTCTCGAATCAACAAGAATCAATCTTATAGCTGCAATTGCAGCTGCTAAAGCTAAGAAGCTGAATCCCACAACATTCGACCAGTGCCAGGCTTTCTGGGGCAGCGAAAGCTTGTTCTTCTTTGCCTTTAAATACATATGATTTGCGAGAACAAATGTAAGGGGGAATGTGCTCAATGCTCCAGTTAAGCTCATGAAATCTCCGAGAAAAGGAAGCAGAGCTGCTACAAAAGTGTTCACTGTGAGGTATCCTCCTCTTACTACGACTCTGAACAATATGTTTTGCAAGGAAAAAGCACTCCCTTTTCCTCGCCCATATTCAGTGTCCAGGTACTCATACATTGGACTAGCAAATATCTGAAGATAAATAAACAAATGTCAGAATATCCATAACTATAATGATCCATAATCAAAACAAACTCAAAGAAGGTTAAAAGTAGGAGAGATTACATGCAAAGCAATGACTGTCTGTAAAAAGGCTGCAGCATTTGCCATTGTCTTCACCCAAATAGGGCCATTCACGCTATTGAGAAGATAAGTTGATGTCGAGGATCCATAAGCCCAATACCCTGCAAAAGTGACAGCATATAGTGGCAGTCCGCCAACTGTGAACTGAAACCAAAGAGCTTTGTCCATATTCTTGATAACAGGAGGCTTTACTGTTGCCTGTAATAAGAAGAGAGGAATTGTACAATATACTTATTGTTCAGTTCAGTTTCACGTTCAGCTGGTGTCATGTCCAACATGATTTCAAAACTAATAAATCGAGTGATTATTAACCTTTATCCTTTGCCGATAATAAAACTGATGTTAACGGAATAAAAAGGCCAGTCCTGTATGACAAATGGTAACACAATAATTACGTGATAATTATTGAGGACATTTTTCCAATAAAAAGGAAAATGCAAATTTAGCCAGGTTTCATCGACTTCTCATCCACGTTTATCTCAAAACACTTCCACCAGAAAATGATTGTGAAGCTAAAGTCATAGACCCACACTAATCATGTCATAAAACAAAACCCAAAGTCAAAAAGAATTTCAAGTGGACAGGACAAAGGCATATAACATTCATTTGTTAGATAGCAATCAAGTGGAAAGGATAAAGACAGATCATATTCATTAGCCAGAGAGAAAAATGTTTACTGTCAATTGGGTCTACAAGTGTGGCTCTTTTTTGGAGTGGTCTTCCTTAAATAAAAAAAATATCACAAGCGTCTCATTTGCAATCTCCTCTAATTGTACATTGTAAACACAAGTTACAGAACGGCGATGTGATCAAAATTGAAATTTAAAAACTGCAAATTGCAAAATTATTGTGACTTTGGGAAGTAGTCTGTGCAGCCTACCTGTATCTCAGGCAGCATTCCTGTATTGTAAGCAAATACGAGATTTGCCACAGCACCAACGGTACTAAAGATCTTACTTGTATGTGATCCTGGAATGCTGTAATCCCTAGAAGGAGAACTTATTCCTGTATCCATAGATTATGAAGTAAAATGCAGTATCAGTTCTCTCTGGTTAGTTTCTGGAATAATTCAAAGAAGAACGTGAGTTTGAATGAGTGTACCATCCTTCATAGACAAAACGAATCCTGTAAGAATATACACGAGACTAAAGAATGTTGAGAACCCCAACCAAATCCTCAGAGCTGATAAGTGAGGTATTCCGAAAGCAAACAGACCACATACGAGTCCAGCAATTACAATACAGTAGGGAAGCTTCAATGCACCATCCTCCCTGTAAAGGATGTATATGGCCTGCACAAAAAGGAAAATAAATTAGTAAGACCTGACAAGGGTAATGTGCTTTTTCCAAATATTTGCAGTCCTATAATGAGTGTTAAAGGTTCCTTCCACTGCAACAAAAATTTAAAGTCATGACGCGGGTTGAGTCCTAATTTTATATTCTATCATGCTGGTTATTTTCTTTTAATCTCTATATGGTCTCAATCTCTCTCTCTCTCTCTCTCTCTCTCTCTCTCTCTCTCTCTCTCTCTAGGATGGAGTATACTCATCTCACTCTCTCTCTCTCTCTCTCTCTCTCTCTCTCTCTCTCTCTCTCTCTCTAGGATGGAGTATACAGTAACAGTTGGAGATTAAGAACACCTGATACATAGGGTCAAACCAATTTTTGGTCATTTGATATGGTAGATGTACAACTTCAAACATATAAGAGGTGGTTGTGATATGTACACTAGCATTCGCAGTTCAAGTTTCAAGTGTTTGTTTTCCCCTCATATACAACTATCAGAACTTACCCAGATGAATGAGCATATAATTCTAACAAATTAAGTTGAGAACATCATCCATTTAAAACTGGAAAAAGAATGAATAATTTTCCAAAAATCACGAGCTGAGCAAATAGAAGTACTCACACCTTTAATGCTTGGCCAGCCAAAATAATATATCCCGTGTTGATCATGAATAAATTAACATATTGCATTGTCCATGTTAAATAGTACACTTTTCTCCCTGTAGTGGTGGAAACAAAGGGAAGAATGTATAAGCGCGAGGCAGTTGTAGAGATATTCTAGATAACACTTAAACCAAATATACGTAGTAAAAGAAAACTGTGATGCGTGAATTATGAGGAAAATTTAAAGCCTAGACTAGAGAAAAATGGCATGCTAAATCCTCTGGCATGCTAAATCCTCCATTTCAATTTACACGTAAATTAAATTGACTTGATCTCAATCTAGATTAGTTTGTTTTAATTTCTAATCCTTCTTCTCAGCACCTCCTACTGTACTTCGCTCTATCCTCCGCAATTCCCTTTGTGTATATCCAGTACCACTACTTAATAAATTTTCTGGGAATCTTGTCCCAGTTTCTCAAAAAAGTAAAATACATGAAAAAAAATTGTAAAAAAGAAGTAAATGCAATAATACCGTAGATGTGGCCAGCGAGATCTCTATATCGGATATGTCGTTTACCACCAATCTCATGAAGGTGGGAAACAAGCATGTTGGCGTATAGAGAAAATGCAGCTGCTAAAATCAAGCCAACAACACCACCCACCCATCCTAGAGGAACCATGACTGATCCAGGATATCCCAAGACATATGCGCTGTTTATTCCGGTCGTGAGCACGAATCCAACTTGATACCAAGGATCTGATCAACAAATACATGATTTAAAAAAAAAAATTCAAAATGCATCCCTATCGAACAAAAGGAGAATTGCCCAAGTAGTAAAAATCTGAAACGCTTGATTATCGGTGTTCGTTTCCACAAGTGTAACAATTCACTAGAAGTCGTTTGTTTCCCTTGAATTAGCGGTGATATCAATTTCAGCATCTTGTCAGCTGTCATGGAGCTCCTCTTGCATTACAGTATAACAACATAACAGTTCACATCTTTTGGGACAGAATTATGATGTTGATTGCAAAAGACAGCGTACATATTGCTCATCGAAGAGGGTAATGATTTCGCATGCTGAAGGAACAAAGACCTCCTCAAAATTTTCATGCATTAATTGCACCAAAGAGCAATTGCTGAAATTTTATCGATTTTTTTCTCTTTTCCTTCTTCTTTTCAATTGGCCGACGGCAAAATTAAACAAATTAGGACTCACATAATTCAACATCCAAAAGCATTGGTCATGCTTCGAAAACAAATTCTCTCATGTTTTTTTTTTTTTTTGGAAAAAGAAGAAAAAAAAAGAAACAGAGAAGAGAGAGGGATACCGTGACTTATTTGATGAGCGGTCTCATCGGACGCTTCAATATCGAGCTTCTTCTCGTCGTTGGCGTCCATCGCGGCCATTGTATCCGCTCCTCCGCCGCCCCCTAGAAAACGCGGTAACGGGATCCAACCGGCTCTCGATTGTCTCGACTATAAATAGCAAAACACACCGAGTGGCGCGCGCACAGATGGATTCCTACACGAAATAAATATGCGGAATAAAGTTTACGTATTTATTTATATTAAATGCGAAAGATTCATGGAAAAAGAAAGGTCCACACCCGTCCAAGCGATAAAGATCTCGTTCACTTTCAAAATCATTCTCGGTCAGACGCAAAATACTAGCTATAATGATATTTTCTAACCAAATTTCTTTATGTCATCTTTCGTGTTTTGCTTCGTCTAGTCCAATTTTGGTACGTTTATATTTTATATGCAGGGAACGAAGAGGAGACCGGAGCTTAATTTACTTTGAAAGCAGCATCATTTTTCTAAAAATAATTACCATATTCTAATGTATGTTGTTGTATTTTAGTGTAAGTTGCTGTATATATGTTTAAAAATATTGTATACAAAACTAATTAGGATGCATGAACTGTTTTTTTTTTTTTTGAAATAATTGCAAAGTCATTGGTGTTAAAAGGTAGAGCAAACGGCGAGGAAAAGTTGTGCTTGTGCTCTATTATTTGGTCGGTAATCATAGTCTGGTGTCTTTTGAAAAGAGTGTTGACTAGGTCACTAAGTAATTAAAGCTATGAAGGATATTTCTAGTGGCTTACGTTGCGTGGATACAAACTCACAAAATTCCATGGAGAGAATATTTTTTATATATTCCGGGTCATTTTCGCGTCTTTCGTCTTAAAAGCTAAAAAAAGAAAGACGAAGAGATAATTTTCCCGTGTGAAACTTGATTCTAGAGATAGAATATAAACTCCTACGTGTAATCTTTTGCTGTGTTGGATATTGGAATAAGGTAATGATCGATTTTGGAAATAGAGTTTGCATCATTTTTATACGAATGAAAAGGATGCAATGTTTCCGAGTATAAACTCCTCCGTACTTGAATCTAAATTGAGCGTACTCATCACAAGTAACGTAATGCAAACATCTCAAACTTATCTAGCTAGATAAAATATAAAAATATACTTAGGCTATTAATTTCAAGCTCTTGCATAGTTGCATGTCTGAATATGTTTCCGAGTATCCGAGTATTTATAACTAATATGATAATACACATACGTATTCACGAAATAAAACTATGGTACCGGTTTCGTATCAGAATCTCCTGATATCCCGAGGCCCAATACTTATTAATTTGGGCCTTGAGCCTTGTCATGCAGTACTGACAAAGCAGGGATCGGATTGAAACCTTCAGTATGAAATTGCTCTCTCTAACTCTGGGCCAACTTCGGGCATTATGGCAACACCTAGATCCAAACAATCCTATTGTGATTGGGCCGTTCTGCTAGCCGCTAATAACGTTTCCTTTCCCTTATTATTTGGGTGCCACTAGGGGCACACCCCCAACCATAACTCCAACCACACCCCTCTCTTGTTTGCTACAGTACACCGGGTTCCATATGAGATTTTAAAATTTTAAAATCCCATGTGAGACCCGGTGCACTGTAGTAATTAAGAGAGGGGGTGTGGTTGGAGTTGTGGTTGGGGGTGTGCCCCTATCATTTTCCTTATTATTTTTCTTCTTACTTGTTTGGGAAGTGACTTTATTTCTCAAATGAAATTATTGTATATCTCTAATTCATGCGCTATCTTTTCTCTTCCTCTGATTCATACACTATCAAGTGCAAATCTGGAACTCTGTAATGCAACTGCCTTAATTCCCTCATGCAGGTCGATATCATTTTAAATTCCTCGATATCATTGTGCGTTTTTTGTTGTGTTTTTGTAGAAAAACATCATGGTGTTGTGTTTTCTCCTAAAAGTGTTTTCAAAACACCATGTGAAATGTTTTTGGTCATGTTTGTGGGAAAATTGCAATGAAAAGAATAAAGAAAATTGATTTGTATTTCTTTGATTCCGATTACAACTTGATTACAAAAGAGGAGAGAACGGATTTTATTCTCTCCTTTGTTTAAAACTGGGTTCTTCACGGTGGCGATGGAATGCCTCCTTCGATTGCTCGCGTCGAAATTGCTCTCCGTTGACGATCCGATGTTTTGCTTCACTGGAACGATATCTTCTCCTCACGATTTGACGTTGTGGAGAACTTGCGTGGCAAGTTTGAGAACTCTGAACGAGTTTAGAAGAACTCTGTAAAAGAGTTGATTTGAACCGAAGATCGGTTAATAAGCCAAGGCTAGAAGAAAGCTCTGGTGGTCGATCTTAGCTGAGGATGAACGTCGATCTCCCTCTTGCTGCCAATTCTCAGATCCGAAAAATCCAGCCAAAAACCCCCCCGCCCGGAACTCAGTTGAGTTTATCCATATTTATAGGGAATTAAGGGGTGTAACCGCCCCCTTAATTCTCTCCATAATGGGGTGTAACCGCCCCCAAATCGTGGGAAACGGTTTTAGAACCGTTCAGCTCATGTTGAATGAGTCAAACAATGCCCACGTTGGCGTTCAGGATCCTAACTCCACATTTTAGACTGAAGACGTGGAGTTGGGTACCCGTAGGGCGTAGAAAAACGCGAGGGTCGACCTTGGCGTTTTTGAAGTTGTGACGCGGGGTTCGACCCTGGCGTTTTGATGTTGTAACGCGGGTTCGACCTTGACGTTTTGATGTTGTAACGCGGGTTCGACCTTGGCGTTTTGATGTTGAAACACGGGGAGGACCTCCGCGTCTTGCCTTGCAGAGATTATCACCAAGTAATCTCTTTTTGTCATAGCGTTGCAAAGATCATTGTCTTGTAATCTTCGTCTTGGCTCCTTGAGAATATGAGAGTCGTCAGATTGTAACTCCCGATGTTGATTGTGAAGGCTGTTGAAGTAGAGCTTCCATCAGTTGTCGTGAAGGTCGTCAGATTGTAACCTTCAGCGATCTACGTGAAAGTCTTCAAATTGTAGCCTTCTGGAAGTCGTCAGATTGTAACTTCCATCATCGGTGGTTGATGGGGGATAAGCTATCTATTGTGATTTTTAGACAGCCTACAGAACCCCCTCCAAAGTTTTCGAAAGTTCGCGGTTGACTGGGACGAATTTTCGGAATACTTTGGATCTCAACTCTGATCTTGGAGCTGTTGATTCCTTGTGGTAAAGGATTTGTTCTCTGCACTTGCTTCGATAACCTCGGCATTTTGACTTGAAACGCGGCTATGACTTTGGCGTTATCGTCTTTGCATCGCGGGTCTGACCTCGGCATTATCGTTTTTGCGACGCTGGTCTGACCTTGACGTTTCGATGTGAGACGCGGAGGTGACTTTCATGCGTTTTTGACTAAGTCTTTGAGACTTGTCTTCAGCTTATTCGTTTCAAGTCTTGGCTCACGTCCATTAAGCTGGTGGGCCTGAAAACATGCATAGGATTTTTGGCAAATCCTCAGCCATCAACGGATTTGATAAGTCTTTACCGACTACCATTTGAATCGGGCTAGCATGTGGATTGTCTAAGTTCGTTCCACATGTAACGTTATTCTAAGAGAATGAACTCTCTTAGACTTGATGCTATGATTTTGAATACATAGACTTTGTCATTTTTACAGAAAAAGACTAACCGGCGACGCGTGTTAGGCGTAGGCTTATCCCTGCTTAGGATTTGGGATAATGTTCCCCATGCGTGTAAGGCATGGATTTTGGCGTTATTAATAACGACTTGCTACGATGTTGAATACGTAGACTTTTGTCCTTTTTACGGTCAAAGACTCACCGGCAACGCGTATTAGGCGTTGACTTATCCCTTCTTAGGATTCGGGATAAAATTCCCCATACATGCAATGTATGGATTCAGAGATTATCAATTTAATGATAATCACTGGCTACGATATTGAATACGTAGACTTTGTCACTGTTTCTTCCTGTGTTATTCGAAACACTGGAAGAAAATTAGGAGTGCCAGAGGTGTAATATTAACTTGGCAATTTTGGGGACTTATCATCCTATTGACGAGGATTGATAAGTGGATTGTCAGAGGTTTGATGTTAACGTGACATGAGGATGTTGCGATTGGAGCAACTTTGTGGACTTATCATCCTATTGACGAGGATTGATAAGTGGATTGTCAGAGGTTTGATGTTAACGTGACAGGAGGACGTTGCGATTAGAGCAACTTTGGGGACTTATCATCCTATTGAAGAGGATTGATAAATGGATTTGTCAGAGGTTTGATGTTAACGTGACAGGAGGACGTTGCGATTAGAGCAACTTTGGGGACTTATCATCCTATTGAAGATGATTGATAAGTGGATTTGTCAGAGGTTTGATGTTAACGTGACATGAGGATGTTGCGATTGGAGCAACTTTGGGGACTTATCATCCTATTGAAGAGGATTGATAAGTGGATTTGTCAGAGGTTTGATGTTAACGTGACATGAGGATGTTGCGATTGGAGCAACTTTGGGGACTTATCATCCTATTGAAGAGGATTGATAAGTGGATTATCAGAGGTGTGAGATTAACATGACAAGAATTTATTGCGATCAAAGCAACTTTGTGGACTTATCATCCTTTTGAAGAGGATTGATAAGTGGATTCGTCAGAGGTGTGATGTTAACTTGACGGGAATTTGTTGCGATCGGAGCAACTTTGTGGACTTATCATCCTATTAACGAGGATTGATAAGTTGATTTGTCAGAGGTATGGTGTTAACATGACAAGAGGATGTGTACTTGTGGAGTTTGACTATCAGAGGTAACTGTTAACGTGATAGTCTTTTGTGGACCCGCCATCCTACTTGAAGAGAATTGGCAAGAGAATTTAGAGGGAATGGACTATCAGAGGTAATCATTAACGTGATAGTTTGGATAGCCCGCCATCCTACTTGAAGAGGATTGGTGGGGGGATTTGGAGAAAACAGACTATCAGAGGTGATCATTAACGTGATAGTTTTAGTGGACTTGCCATCCTATTGAAGCGGATTGACAAGTTGATGGACTATCAGAGGTAAATGTTAACGTGATAGTTTTTTGTGGACCTGCCATCCTATTGAAGCGGATTAGCAGATTGATGGACTATCAGAGGTAAATGTTAACGTGATAGTTTTGGTAGATTCTGTGGTTGACAGAGGTATTCTATTAAACATA